ACACACACACACGCACACACACACGCAGACACGCACACACACACGCAGACACGCTCTCACACACACACACACGCAGACACAGACACACACACACACGCAGACACAGACACAGACACACACACACACACAGACACACACAGACACACACACACACACACAGACACACACACAGACACACACACACACATGCACACGCAGACACAGACACACACACACACAGACAGACACACACAGACACACACGCACACGCACACGCAGACACAGACACAGACACACACACACACACACACACACACACACACACACACACGCACGCACACGCAGACACACGCACACACACACACACAGACACAGACACACACACACACACACGCACACACACTCACACACACAAACATTTTTCTCCTTGAAACTGGAGACAGGATTATAACCCAAATTCCACAAAGAGGTGAGATTATGTGTAAAGTGTAAATAAAACAAAACACAATGATTTTAAAATCTCACAAACACGTTTAATTCACCATCGAACACAGACACACATTGTATGTTCAAACTGAGTCTCAGAAAACTCAGAAAAGTTGAGATGGAGGAAGCTGACGAGGCTGATTGTCCAGAGATGGTCTTTTGGGCCTCAGCTGACAAACACAGGCACGAGTCTGTCATGGCTGTTACGGGCTCCTGAGTTCGCTGTCTGCAAACAGAGTAAAGGAAAAGCCAGGCGACTGTGCTCCACAAACACTGTTGTCTTCTCTGAGCCAAAGCTCATAAGGCTGACTGAAGCAAACTGTTAACGAATACTGAAATTCACTGTGAATTCTTGAAAGTGAGTTTTCAAAAACGTGGTGACACTCCTGGGCCACTCTCACATGTGGTGGGCTCCACAGGAGACGGACCGTCACAGCTCTGAATGCAGGCCTCAGTGCCTACACTCACTCAAAGCTCCCTGTGTGGGTTCTCTGTGGGTGCTCCAGTTCTTCCCACAGTCCAAAGACATGCAGTTAGCGGGATTAGATTAACTGGTGATTACACAAGAATGTGAAGGGTTGTTGTCCCTGCAGGAAGAGGAAGGGGAACTGAACAAATGTGGCTAGTCCCATAAAATGACGCCCACCAAACTGTCAAATAAAGATTTTATGAGCGTAGCATGATGTCCAAGCATCCTTTAGTGGGACTACGCACAGACCAGCACCATGCACATCACTGGCACGCTGTTCCCTGAATTATTACCCTTTTAATGATTAAAAATGAGTAGTCAGTGTATTGATTATTTTGTGTTCTGTCATGGAGTAAGAAATGAGAGAAATGCAAAGGCAGTCCTCAAAAACAAGCAGGTTAAATTAAAAACTCGATTTTAATTAGTTTGGATTCCTCAGGGAAATGTACAACACCACAATTCTTCAGTCGCTGCTGGATTTAATCTCTTCATGGAATTTCATCGTCATCAAATCCAGTGTTCAAACTGCACGACATTACTCTCATTACTAAGCTGTCACAAAAGAAACACCCATGATGGATAAAACTAAAGAGCTCTCTCAAGAGCTTCACAAGCTTCTTGCAGCAAAACAGCCTGATTGCTCTGGTTACAGAAGAACCAGGTCCCAGTGAGCACTGTTGGGACCACAAAGACCTGAGCCAGTACAACTGTTTCCAAGTAACAACAATATTGTTTTTCATCTCATTTACTTGGTCAAAGGCTTTCTCTGCATCAACACACAGTATAAACTCTGGCTGCACAGAGGGAGCTGAGGACAACAGCCACAGCACCGCGTCTTCCTGTGATAAAAGCAGATATGTTTTTTTAGTTTGACATGTTGTATTACCACAATTGATCTAAAATCAGACAAAAAACATAAAATCAGAGTAGAAACAAGTTTTTACTGTAAGAACCACAAACATGTTTAATGAATCACAACTTGAAATAGAAACTGTACATTTTAAAAAACTATGCACAAGTTTTAAAACAACACAGTTACATGCAGCTATTACCTAAAAATGCAGCCAAGGCGTTTTTTTATTTTTATTTTTTAAAACCTTTTCAAACTTTTTACAGAACAGTCAGGTGTTCTCCACCGAATACGTTTTTGCTTTTGCTTGCAACAGGCCTGGAGTGCCTGGGCGTGCTGTTTTTAGAAGACTTATTTGTATAGTATTCAGGAAAATGATAACAGTACCCTGTGTCGCATATTGACTCTGGGTACTGTTGAAACAACCTCTGTGCATGGAGAGTTTAGGTAGCTGCTCTGCACTGTGCTGCATCGTTGTGGGGTCTACTTTACCATGTTTCACGTTGAATGTGGGAGAAGAAACTAATGTGGTTAGGAGGGACTTCTCATTAAGAGCTAGTTACTGTCATTATAAATGGCCTGGATGACAGGCCACTCCAAATAGTTCCAGATTATCCAAAGTTAAGAAGAGACAAATGTCATCTACTTTGTGCAGAGAGTATCAGTTCATACATATTTAACATCCAGTTCTTTCTTCCCTAATGGGCTTCCAGATAGATGAGCATTGCATTCATCAAACACACGTTGGAGGCCTGTCATGGTGCAGGGCCAGTCTAAATGCTGCCTCTAACCAAAAAGGCATAATGAGTATTTGAATCTGTTACACTGACTGTAGTATGGAATAGGAATAGGTCATGGATGACAATTCAGTTGGTAAAATACTCTCTGTCCAATTTGAGGATGCACTAAGATAAAGAATTTGCACTTTTATTTATAATGAGCAGTGTTGGGACTAACGCGTTATTAAGTAACGCGTTACAGTAACTACGTTATTATTGTGGTAACGAGCACGGTAACTAGTTATTATGCCAAAACCAGGAACGCGTTACTCGTTACTGGGATTTAGATAGGCTCGTTACTTCGTGTGGTGGCATCGCGGAGCTTCCACAGATTCAGTAACATTAGCAAATGGTGGAGGCCAGCAGGAAAAGAGACCCGAGGCGGCCGCAAGTGTGAACTGAACTTCAGGTAAGAAGTTATGACCTGCAGTCTATCTGGGTCAGATATAAACCAAGTTTAGGTGGAGTTTATTTTCGTTATTCTGACTTTTTCCGTACTGCGTGCTAGCTAGCATGATGGAGTTTCTATACAGCTGGGTGGTGCTATGAAGTTAATGATGTTGAACTTTATCTTGTTCATAAGTTATTAGAGTTGCCAACCGTCCTGCCTGGTATTCAGAGAAAATATTACGCGTTTCTTATTGAGCTGAAAAGGAACAGTTTGTCCCGTAATTCACCTTCAATGAAAAAGACACAAAGGTGGAGTTATTCTGTGTCTTTGCTGCACAGCTGCCTCTTCTTCTCTCATTCTCCCCCCTCCCTCTCCCGTTTCTACTTCAGTCATGAAACTGATCAATGATCAGCTGATCAGCTCTCTTGTTTGTTTATCGCTCACTTTGCGCCGAAAGAGGAAACCAGCGGATAAACAACAGCAGCACGTTTAAGCTTGATCAGCTGTTGTTAGAATGTATTTAATATTAATTTCTAGTATCAGCTGATGTTTGCTGGAGCCACAGCTGTAAAGCTGCTGGTCATGATATGGTTTGGTTATCTGGTGAGAGGGAAACATGAAGATGAAAGCAGGAGATGTCCTTACTGAATCATCAGAGCTGTGATGGAGAAACAGGTTTACCTTTTAGGTGACATGGATGAGTTGAAGTTATGAACTGTTTCTGAGAGACAAATAACACCAGGATCCTTTTCTAAGCAGCTGACAGCTGGTAACTGTGCAGGGGCGGGTCTAGCAAAGTGCTGCCAGGGGGGCAGGTAGGGCATTAACAGGGAGAGGGGGGCACAAAGAAATACTTTTCTTTCTTATTCTCATTTAAAATGTCTCGGTTTTAAAAAATAATTATCTGAATCTTTCAACAAATGATTGATAGATTGATGCATGTATACCATCAAAACAGTGAACATCACTGTCACAACAGTGTTTATTTTCATTCAAAGGCTTTATGATTTTTCCTATAATGGCGGCCGGTCTCTAGTCAAAATGCCCGGGACGATTTTCTGTCCCAGTCCAGCCCTGTATGCAGCTCATCTGCAGTCTGGTGTTGCCTACATCTTCCTATTCAGAAGGCAGAATTTGTGAGTGCAATCGAAAGCACCACGACTGCAGTTTTTGTGTTGGATGTAAAAGGCGCACATGACACTGTGACGTAGGCTAGAATCATGGCAGCAGTCAACGACCGTCCAGGCGTGGGATTTCTCTCGTGGAAATGTGCACATTATCTTTTCCTTTCTATTGGTAGGTGACACAGTGCACTGCGGCAAGTAAGCAAGCTAGAAGACTGGCAAAGTTATGGAAGCAACACATTAACAAGAGAATTCTGAGTAAAACCAAAGTTACTTTCCCTAGTAACTAGTTACTTTAAAAGTAACGAGTAACTTGAAGTAACTGAGTTACTTTTGAGAGAAGTAACTAGTAATGTAACTACGTTACTATTTTAAAGTAACTTACCCAACACTGATAATGAGTACATAAATAAATACCCTGTTACTAAATTCTGCTCACCACAGTCTTTTTACCAATACAAGTAAAGATATTGGCAAATCAGGCATCACTATGGCTCTCGTCTGTGCCGAGAGTTGCACCTGATGCATGGACTCTCTGTGGTCCATAAACTATGTGCAGATCAAGTTGAAAATTCACAGCAGGCCAAAACGACCCTTAGGCTACTGGTCCTCTGATGGCCAGTCCACCACTGGTTATATGCATGTGACAGCACATTGCAAGGTGTAAGCTAGACAGTTGACAGGAACAAGTGCCCAACTAGCTTCAGCTCACTGTGTGACTATAGCAGCTCAATGTGAAGTCTAAAAACTCAGATCAGCATCCACCATGTTAGGAGCAGAGGGAAAGAGGCACAGGCAGAGTGATGCAGAGAGAAAAGAGGGATACGAAGCTAGTTTGCATGTGTGTGTGAGAGAGAGAGAGGACATCAGCAGATGGCATCAGTGTCTGTGAGGCTGCAACAAGAAGAAGACACTAGCAGGAGAAAGAGGGAGGAGAACGTGTTTGTCGAGATACTTGGAGGCTTCAGGACGATACCTTTTAAAATTGAACAACAGAGCCGGGTGAGCCAAGTTATTTAGTGCGTCATTGAAAAATAATAACAACAGCCTACTAATTAAAAGAGGTAAGCCGGGTAATTAATTTCAGCTGTATCTATCACAACTGGTATTTTTCACATGATAAGGACTTTTGTTATATCCCAGTTGTTCGTAATTGTTGTGATATTTTGCACAATGAGATTATGATGTTTCATATGTGTACAGTCAAATTTTCTGCTAAAAACCCAGTTTTTTCCTAATTTGGGGATTTGTATCCTCTAAGGTTTGAAGCCTTGTATCTAATTTTTCTTTCCCCACCATTAATGTGCAGGACAGCATGCTGACTTTGCCATTTGATGAACAGTCCTCCAATCAAACCATCAGTTCAGTAAGGATGAGTTGGACCTCTAACAAATTAGTCAAATTGATTAAGCCAGAGATTGACAGAGCCCCAGAGGAAAGCCTTGATACCAGGAGGGAGGATGAACTGAGGGATGTTGAAGTGAAGGAGGAGGAAAGTGAAGCAGGAGATCCAGCTTGGCTCAGAAGAAGGGCTTCTCAAAAGAAGAAACTGAGCCACTCTCGCCTGGACCGGGTTCGACTACGACGGATTGAAGCAAATGCGCGGGAAAGACAACGTATGCATGGACTTAACAATGCATTGGACAGCCTGAGAAAGGTGGTTCCCTGTTATTCCAAGACACAAAAGCTGTCCAAAATAGAAACCCTCCGCTTGGCCAAGAACTACATCTGGCTTCTCAGTGAGATCCTGAGCACTGGCAAAAGGCTGGACTTGCTCACATTTGTTCAGACTCTGTGCAAAGGTCTCTCTCAGCCAACCACTAACCTTGTCGCTGGCTGTCTCCAGCTCAACACCTGCAGCCTCATCTCACAACCTGACGAGGAGTCATTGTCTCTGTACGCAGCCTATGATCACCATCCTGGTCCCGAGGCTGGGGGCTCCACCACAGCGGGTAGCGGTAGGTCTCTGCGGCCCTTTGGCTCTTTCTGCAGCCCCTTTGAGTCTGTAAACGACAGTTCCTCTCCAGACAGTTCTGGTTCTCTGGATATGGGGACTCTCAGCCCACCCTTCAACTTCAGTGGGCTTTTCACCCTCAAACACGAGGAACCGGTCGACTACCGAAGTTGTCACAATGGTCTCCGCTATTGTCCCATCAATCAGGCCTCCAGCTCAGACCTTGGTCCCTATGACATCCAACTCCGGGGACAGTTTTACCAGGTGCAGGGGGAATTAAACAAGCCTTTCCATAATTAATAAACAGCATATAAATGGATGAGTTCTTAAGAAGTTCAGTAGTGCCAACAATAACAGGGAAAAAGCTAGGGTTTGTGAGTGCATGATGAGAAAGTAGTAAGTCATCTTCACTGAACTGTCTGCGGACGACAACCTGTAATGTGACAGACACAGACGGACACACACACAAGGAAAACATGCAGAGTCCCATAATAATAATAATAATAATAATAATAATAATAACAATAATCTGTTAGCTACATAATGACTTTTTCTTCTTGTGGGCCAAATCGCTGAGGGTTTTACCCAAAACACATGAATACTTTTAAAATATCAGGGCATTTATCCAGAACTTTGCTCCCTGAAACTACATTTAAATTGAATGCACGGCCGTTTCCATGGTGTTTTTGCTGCAGCTGTCATGCTGGATGAACAGAACAAATGTGGTGTGATATTGTGATCCTCTCTGTTTTGCTTTACGTAGTAAATTATTATAAGGATGTCAAATGCATTTTGTGTGTTTCTGTAACTCCACTTTGTTTGTTTTAGCAGCTGCTGGGTGAATGTTTGATGGTGAGCTGTTGTTCTGCATTACATCTTTACCACATTTGTCACAGCTTTGTTTTCACTGACAAATACATGATGAAAATAATATTCTGCTGATAACAACAAGTCTCTGTTTCATTAATAATGTTTGGATTCATTGTGTTACACAATGATGAAAGTGTCAGTGTTTCAGCAGCTTTCCAGAGCTGACTTCAGGCAGGTATATACTGTGTACATGGACGTGTATGCTATGTTGAACTATGTGTACTATTTACTATCATTTAAAGTCTTATTATGTTCCTTGTGATTGATGTTGTGATTTGGCACTGTGTTAAATGTAATTAATTTGGCCCAAATAAATGTAACAACAATAGTTACTGTTTACTTCAGCTTAGCATTAACAATTATATTTGAAGTATTGATTCTTGAACTCTGCAGATATTTGGCAGATTCGGCTCCAGTGGTCAAAGAGAAGATTTACATGCACAGGCAGCACTTTGAGTGAAATGTAATTGTTAACTGGTGCTATGTTAATAAAACTCACACATCATAATGAATTGCATTTAAAGCAGTATGTGACTAATGTCAGATGTTACAGTGGTCATGCACTAAACACTGACGATAAACGTCTTCCCAGCTGTTCACATGCTCAGTACATTTAATGAACAATTTCCTCTTCCTACAATTTTTACATTACAAATTCAGCCCCAAAGGACATTGGTCCGTCTTTTTCACAGCAGATCTTCATGGACTGATGGAAAATGTTAAAGCTCTGATGTGAATTACAGTTAGAAGATGCAGAGTTTTCTCTGTTATTAAAGCAATGAATTGAACTTGTGATGCGTGAAGCTAGTCGCTGATAGAGGTTTCCAACAAGCTCCGGAGTCACAGGGTGACCAAAGCAGCAGGAAGCTGAATATTGCCAGGAGCATTTTAATAAGAAAGTACTCAGAGGCCCTCGTGGGATGTGGCTTAACAGCCAGTCAACAGGTGATTTGCATTTTATATCCGAATCACTTTGGGATGACTCGATATATCTTCCATGACCTCTGGACCCAGAAGACGCCATCCTGTTTCTGTGGTTGGCACTGTCCCACCTTTTGTTTTGGCAGGATTGTCGTGTGTAATCCTGTAAAGGTTTAGAGAAACACTGGGATACTTACTGTTATACATTTAAACTACTTCCTGTTTCAAAGCTCCAGTTTCCATCACACATCCACCCATCCATGCATTCATCTCATCATTCTTCTCTTCTGTTTTAACTTTTCAATTTTAAGCAAATGCCACACATGGAAGCTCTGCACTGTTTTCTTTTATTGCTTCTATTTTGTGATATAATTTTAATCTTGTGTCTTTGCCTTAGAAAAGCTCAGCTATTTTTTTGTTGTTATAACAACTTAAATATTTATCCAAAAAAGGGGAAAAAAGTTTGCTTTGTCTTTGTTTATCATGGACTGGGAAACCCAGCAGTACTTTAACTACAGGGGAGTAAGAGCCTGGCTTCATTAGAGGGGTGGAAGTAATATCAATCATCCCACTGGTCTGGGATCAGATACAGCACCAGGTCATGTCAAGAACACCATGTCCTGATATTTCAAACTAATCAATAGATTAGCAGTATTTGATCAATCGATCAATTTTATTTATATAGCACTAAAAACAACAACTGTTGACCAAAGTACTGAACAATAAAATAATCAGATAAAATTTAAAAGTTAAATAAAATGAAAGAAAATAATAAGAATAAAATAATGACAGACTCAGACAGAATTAAAAGCCAAAGAGTAAAAATGGGTCTTTAAACGAGTTTTAAAAGTATCCAGTGCTGGAGAGGTCCTGATATGTAGTTTATTCCACAGAGCAGTCACAGCAAAAGCCTGATCTCCTCTGTGTTTTAATCTGGACCTGGGGACAACTAGAAGCATTTGGTCCGCAGACCTCAAACATCTTGCTGGAGTATACCGATTTAAAAGATCAGAAAGATATATAGGAGCTAGTCCATGCAATGTTTTAAAGACAAGTGTCAAGATCGTGTAGCGAGGTGAGTATAGGGGATATGTGCTCTTGCTCCCACGTGCCAGTCAGAAGCCTTGCTGCAGCATTTTGAACCAGCTGTAGTCGGCCAATAGATGACGAGCTAACACCAGAGTAGAGGCTGTTGCAGAAGTCGAGGCGAGATGACTCACGGAAATCGCACGGCCCGTGACAATTCTGTTTATCACAGTCTTTGAGTTGATCTTCAGAGGAGCAAGCAGGTAGTTAACGGTTAAGTTCACATCAGGCCAAAGGCTTCCACCGCCAAGGACACACATAAATGAAATATGCTGATGATGGCCCCATGTACAAACAGGCTCTTAAAGTGCTCGGTGAGTTGTTCACATGGGGATAACACCACCTTTGTGGAGAGTTCATTCTGCAGTTTACTGAAAAGCCGCTACAGCGCCGGTGGAGGAGCTACACTGGAGACCTGTCTGATGACTGATGGGGAAGGCAGCCAGAAGTGTGGTGCTACCAGAACATTCTGCAGCAAGTGCTGTTTGTGTTTATTTGTTTTATCTTTGTCTAACATTTAAATTTGTTTGATGATCTGAAATATTTAAGTGTTACATACCCCCCCCACACACACACACCGCTGTACATGCATACCCCAAATAGCCTCCGTTCTCACACTGTGACCAACCTCTGACATACCACAGAAAGCGAGAGGTAATGAACTCAAGGCTGTGGCAGCTTTGAGCCTCTACAAGTCTTTCACAGATAACTATCACATTTGCTGCTCTTACACAAAGTACACAAGAGAAGACCCCTGTGTAAGTGACCTAGTGGCTGTCACAGCGTGTGGCTGGAATGAATGACAGCAGAGATCCCACTGAGCCAACACAGCAGCAATAATGAACGTGGGACTCATTGAGCATATGAGCCTGTGAGAGCTGTCGGTCTGTAAAAAAGGACATAGTACAAGAAATCCCAATTTCAGTTCATTGATTTAAAACGAGGTAGCTGAAGAAAATGATCCACAGCGAGGTCATACCTAACAATAACAACAGAAACCCCCACTGGGCAGGAGGCTCCTTATTTTGGGCTCTTTCAGAACATATCTGAGAGTGAGAGCAGAACACAGGAGACACGAGGGTTTGCAATGAGGAAATGTATCAACAGTGAAGAGCTATTTACAGGCACAGTGTATTTACAAGGCAGGACGTGTATAGAAACGCAGAGCCAGGACGTTATCAGAAGCCAGACTGGGCGGCACGGAGAGAGACCGAGAGGCGGGATGCTGGGATGTAAACCAAAACTTCAGCCCCAATAAAGATGATCTCCACGGGTGAGCAGGCACACAGGCACTCCTGAAAGGACCATGCTCCGACACTAGACATGCGTCGCGCTGCTCCTTAAGAACGCTTCTGATGAATGCGTCTGGTGAAGAACAGGTGTGCCAGAGGCTCAGTGTAGCCCCGCCTACCTGTGCCAAAAAAGGAGACACAAAACCAGACAAAGACAAAAACAGCACACAACAATAATCGGGCTCCTAATAACATCATGTCCTTCTGTTTATTCAATGTGTGAGTGCTTTTCAGCTTTGAACGATGTCACTCAGCATAAGTAAATTCAGAGCCACCTGTAGCCCCTCTGCATGCACACACCACCCCAAACAACAACGGTGTTGTGCAAATTTCATTTTGTTTGACTATAACTAGCTTTCAGTAATAAATGCTAGTAATTAGTAATGTTAGTAACAAACGTAACTGTAATATTTAAAAATAATAACAATATAATAATGTTCTTACTAATAGCAGCAACAGTAATATTTACCATGACAGTGGACTTGTGCACTTCCATCTGTCAGGAGGCCTTTTAAAGTAGTTGCACATACAAAACCCCTGATATCATCTTGATGATATCATAATGATTTTGTTATTTATTAAATAAAATGTCATGTTGTTTCTCAGCCAGAAAATTGTGTAACAACAAAATGGTGTGCACACTTTTCCTTCTGTCAATCTTTGATCTGATTGGTTGGCTGCTAGCTGTCTCTTCGGGCCACAGATGATCCAAAAGGCCCATCTGGCAGCCTTCTCAGGGTGCTGATTAGTAATGGATACAGTCCACTGTATCCTTCCCACTGCCTATAACAACTCCCTTGGGTGTCTTGTACATGCCACCCACTTACAAGCTGGGCACATGGCAGGCCTTTCTGAGAAGCTTTCCCCCAATAACCACCGACACACATAAAAACATAAATAACAAAAATGAAATAGTTTTCCCATAAAAAGCCTTGGTTGCTTCTCTTCAGGTTAGCCAGCTGCGATAAGTCAGAGCTCACACGGTTAACTTGACCCAGCAGCGGTTGAGTGCTTTGATATGACCCCCCAGGTGCTATCAGTGCATCATTTTTGTTTTCATTTATTATTTTTTTGTAATGTTTTGATTGTATATTTTGTAATTTTTGTAAAGCCTCACGTAATTGTGGACCCTTGCACATCAGCTTTGTTTGTTCTTTTACATTTTCATTGAACTTAACCTGCTGTCTCTGGTTAAACAGCCGTGAGGCTGCAGCTGAAAGAATAAGAACGTAAACTGTCTTATAGAGCATACGTTTGCTCTCAAACACACCACTCATTTCCCTGTGTTGCTTTCAGTCTGTGCCTAACGTCTTCATGGTGTGTGTCTCTCTCTTAACATATTGTAGTTTGTAAAATCAGTTGCTCTGCTGCTGATGACCGGTCTGATGCTACCAGTGTGTGTGAATGTGCACAGACAGACCAGGAAACCCTGGGCTGACTCGTTAGGTAACAGGTCTCGTGACCACTTACTCCAACTGCTGAAATGAGAGTAAAC